GCAATATCAGTGTGAGGTCACAGCTCCCTGTGCACGTCCACACTGTGATGTCACAGTTTCAGAGCTATCACCCAGAGGTCACTGTTCCTCACACCCATCTATGCAGTGATGTCACCATCCGGTAGCATCTCTACAGTGATGTCATTGAGACACCTCTCACCCTTTGACACTGTGACCTCAACTTGAGCTCACTGCTGCTCCTAACAGAGGTGCTATGATGTCACAACCACCTGCTGCTGCCTCAGCCATGATGTCACCATCCCCCAGAGGGGCTTGGGGGCAGGGGGCACAGGCGGGGGCAGCACAGCCCCGTGGGGGCTCCCAGGGCCCATAGAAGGGGGAGGGGGTGGTCAGGTAGGTGGGGGGGCAAGCCAGGGCAACCCCCCGCAATCTCGCAGTACAGCCCCTCGGGGTGGTGGGGGTCTGATGTGGGGCCTATTAAGGGTGCAGGGAGGTGGGGATAGCAGCTGGTGGTGGCATGTGCCCCCTCCCCAACATACAGGGAATAGGGGTCCTAAAAAGGGGGGGAATCCATCCCTCCAAAAGGGGGCAACCAGGGTATTTCAGGAAGTGCAGAAAGGTCACTGGGGTATTTAGGGGGGACCTGAGGTGATGGGGAGGGATTATCCCCCCCCAATAAAATGATATTAGGGAGCCCCTCCCCAAAACGTGGGGGGTGATAGAGGTATTTAGGGAGAGATAATTGGATGGGTAATTGGGCACTGGGGGAGCCCCCAAAATGGGGTATTTTGGCAGGGGGCAAAAGGAGGGTGCTTGGGGTATGGGGGAGGGGACACAGCAGCCTGGCACAGCACCAAGATGCAGCCACATCTGGGGTGGAGCATGGACGTATCTGCTGCATATAACACAGTGGAGGACTGGCCTGGGAGCAAGATGCAGCCAGCTCTGGGGGGGAACAGCGGCATGTAACAGTCAGGGGAGGGTCCCATGAAGGCAGCCAGCTCTGGGGTGGAGCCGAGCAGAAACAGCTGCATATAACAGTATGGAGGAGACTGGTGTGGGCCCCTTGATGCAGCCAACTCTGGGGTGGGCTGGGGACCTCGCCCCCCTAAGACTCTCCCTGAGGACCCGGGTGTCTGGGCTCCCTTCCCCCAGGCGTTTGGATCCTGTCTAGCCTGTATCTTGGACGGGGGGAGGTGTAA